TCTCTCTCTCTCTCTCTCTCTCTCTCTCTCTCTCTCTCTATTTCTTCTTATAGTAAGAATACATATAGTCTTTCTCAAAAGGAAACAGATAGATATTCGTGATTCGGTAAAATATACATAGCATAAAAATAAATTCAGGAAATGAGTGTGGGTAAAGATGAAAACGAAAGAGAAAGAGAAAGAGATAAGGAATAGAAGATTGAGAGAAAAGGAAGTGAGAGTATAGTAATGGGAGTGAGGAGTATGGTGTACGAGATCTCAAGCACGAACTTTTCGAGAGTTTGCTGATGGCACCTTAGGGAATAGTGGGAGAGCACCTTCAAAGGATCCTCATAATATTTCTCAAATTCCTTCTGGAATTTTACAGAGAGAAAATGAGAGATGATCACGTGATGTGTAAAAATTTTCACAATCGCGAGAATTTATAACTTATCAAAAATAAAAGGAAAAAAAAAATAACTCGAGGAGATCCTAATCCTTTTTATATTTGAACAATTTATCATTGATCGATTATAATCTTTCTCTCATTCTTTCTGTCTGCCTCTCTCTCTCTCTCTCTCTCTATCTCTCTCTTTATTTCTATCTTTCTTTCTATCTATTTTTCACTATCCCAATTTCTATCTTTCTCACCTTTCTTTTCGCATAGCTCGCGGCTAGAAATCAGCAACGTGAACGAGCAGCAGAATGGCACTTGTCTATTTACCCGAGGCTATTCTCTACAAATTCTCTCTCACTTTCCTTTTTTCCTTCAACTTCGATATCAGCATTGACTTTCCAAGAAATCGAAAACCATTTTCAACACTAGAATAATAGTCATGATCCTGGATGATAAGAACTTTATATTCCCCTCTCGAACAAAACAAAATGAATATCTCTTTCTTTCTATCATATCCAGGATTGATGATTCAAAATGAACGTATTCATTATCTTTTTATGTTAGTTTCATCAGACCAGTCATGATGATACCTTTTTCTTATAAAAGTGAGAAAATGTGTATAAAGAATGAACAAAAAAAAAAAACTCTACCACACGATGAACACATTACAAAAGATGAAAGAGAAAAAAAGTCTCGATTCGAGTCAATAACTTATATCAGTCAATAGCCATTTAAAGAGGAGGCCGAGAAATAGTTTATGGGAGGATGGAGATAATAATACTACTTCGTAGGAAAAAAGAGAGGAAAAAAGACAGAAAGTGAGAGAGTGTGAGAGAGAGAGAGAGAGAGAGAGAGAGAGAGAGAGAGATAGATAGATACGTCGGTAACAATTTATCCAATGAATACATCCTGTTATCTCGTCTCTGTCTACCCGGTTTCTCCTCCTCCTCCTGTGGGTCAACTGAGCGCGTAATAGCTATATCAAATAACTTGGGTTCCCTCTCATCGGAAGCGACCACCACTACTACCATCACTACCACGATCACCAACGCTATCTGCAAGGACAGAAGGCCGTCATCGTCACCCTAGTGATTCAGTTCTATCGCAAGCAGCTTACACTTACACCGTCGTGGCCAGCCCCAGGCTGTTTCAGCCTTCATGACAGAATCAGCGCGGTCAGCCGGTAACAGCTTTTCCTCTTTGGCCTATAACCGAACTACTAACTTCCATCTTTCTCCATCTCTGTCGGCTAGATTGTTTTATTTATTAATATATGTTAGAAAGAGAGAAAATATGATTATAATTGATTATTAAAGTAATTCATCTGTGTGTGTGTGTGCTGTCTATTTCTGTTTTTCTACGATATTAACGATACATTGTTATCATTTTTCGAATTATTAATATAAGTGAGTTTAATATATTTAATATTATGAAGTTAACAACTTAAAATGGGATATATAAAATTGAATATGTGTATCTATACGTATAATACAATATGAGAAATTGCATGATTAAAAAGTATGTTTAGTTTGTATTAATGTTAAAAGTATCGTAAAACAATCATCTCATTTTGTTAATAAACAATCGTTTTCTTGAAATAAGTATTCCTTAGAAATTACACTCTTTCAATAGTAATTTTGTTGCTTTCGTATTCACGCATAGGTTACACAGTCCCAAAGCAAAGCGAATAGCACGTTTGCATTAGCGACTACGTGTGCCCAACGCAAAGTGAGGCATCGAAGGATGGCACTTACCGATTCTGTCCGGCATGCGATATTACCAACCAGCCAGGTAACCGTTGGTTACCGTTGACCCCACGGCCTTTGCAGCTTTGTCTCACCGCATCAGATATTACGAGTATAATGTATCCATCGGATCCAATCCTGATCCGCGTACGAACATACACACGTACATGCATACGTATACAAGACACACAATGTTCGTACGTTCGTTCATCTCAATCCACAACCTAAACGATTATCTCTCTCACTCTTGTTCGCTTTTCGCGTTCAAAGCTTTGTCATCTACAACATATGTAGTATAACTACATAGATATATAAACGAGATGGCCGATGGCCGTACACCTTTCGATGCCTTTGAGATAGGAACATCTTCTTTCTTCAATTTCGCTTTATACCTAACTATGTTGGAAAAATCGATTGAATCTATAGAACATGAACGACGTTAACGAATACGAACAAAATATCGATTTTCCAGATATTCTTTCCAATGGGAGATTAACCCAAGAAGGACGTAGATATGTTCCTGGTAAAAAATGTACGCCATCTGTCTGTCCACCAGCAGCAACAGTTTCAATGTATCAGATTGAATAAACTATTCGTTTGGATGGTCGGACTACCTAACATCCTCCTCGTTTTTAGTGCTAATAGCACGTATATACGGTCATTATTTCTTTCACTTTGCTATCTCTCTTTCTCTTTCTCTCTCATACACACTTTCTTTCTCTCGTTTTATCGCGTACGTTTGTTACTAACGACGCTCAGGAATGATTTTTAATTACTCCAACGTTTAATTACTCATTCATTAGCCATACGTGTCCCTCGTATACTTCACGTATTTTCCCGACTATTTTCTATCTCCGTGAATTTTAGCTCGAGAGTTTTGAAAGCGACGAGAGAAATAAAAGTGATAAAAGAAAAGAGGAAAATAGCTCGAAAAAGCATGCATATATACGTTTTTCCATATTTATCTTTCTTTTATTTAAAAAAAATAAAAATAAAAATAAATAAAGGAAAGAAAATAAAGAAAATAGAAAAAAAAAGAAAAAAAAAAGAAGAAAAAGAATGGCAACGCAACGAGAGAGAAGCTTAAGATCCACGTTGAGGATTTAGCCAAAATGAAGTGAAGTAGCGCGTATCCAACCAATTACCAGGGATAACTGCAAAGGGCGTAAGTTAAAGGGAAGCATCGAAGCGCTACCACCACTGGATAATCCTAGTTCTACCCTCAAGCTAATGTTTCTGAAAGCGTGCGCTTCTATTCGGTGCGATTGGCAGGGATACGCCATTTGCTTATGAGCTTTCCGTTGGCCAAATTCACAATAATATCGAACTATTATCGCTTGATTATTCCGCTTATTTCAGTTAAACTCTCGATAATGGATTATTTTAAAGGATATATAAGAAAGATTTCGAATCGGAGAATTTTTCTTTCATAACATTTCGCTTAACTTCTAATTATAATATTAAATTCATTATTTCTACGGAATTTATGAAACTCGAATAACGCATCGAATACTAATTGTATAAAAAAAAAAAAAAAAAAAACAAAACAATTAAATTCGTGGAATCCAAACGTCACTCAAGTTTTTTTCATGTTATTAATTGTATTGAATGAGGTTTGATTATTAATTATTGAGACAATAAATGAAAGGAAACATTAAAAGTTGTGAAGATAGTGTTAAATGAAAAAAAAATGCAAATTTTAAATTAAATTCTGTTTTAATGCTTAGTTTATCCTCATTCATTTTTTTATAACAAACGCGTATAGCAATAACTATCGACCGACGTATCTCATATATACACACACACACACACGCAACCAACTAATGTTGCTGGAACCTTCTATATTCTCATTTGACTGTGATCGACTGATCTCACACACACAAACACATACACACAGAATTATTTTTCTACTCTTGCACACTCGAATTCCTACATGTATAGAGGAAGTCTTGCCCGATCGATATTTCCCTGTTTCTCCCTTATTGCTCATACAAAAATCTAACGCGATCCCTTCAAAACCGTAAAACTTTTCATTTGACTAGAAAATTTTCGGTATATTTCCAAAGAAGTATCACTTTCAAAAATCAAAATGTTCAATATTGAAAAAATTTTAACAATGCGTCTGCTTATATAATATATAATATAAACATTGGTAAGAGCACCTTTTCCGTCGAGCAGAACAATATAATTAAGATTTCTTGTTTTAATAGAGATTTTATGATGATTTGAGTTGAAATTTAAATCCATACATTGTTATACGCATGCATATAATACATTTTCTAGCACTTGTAATTCCTTCCTTCAAGCTAATTATCCTATTTATAATGTTAACTCGTGTATTTTAACCGTTTCTAATATCATGTAACTTCTAAGTCATACGTTCGTGTATTTATGTTCTTAACATCTCATTCTATTTGCTTCAAGCATCTTAATGTTATTCACTTTTTTCATAATCAATTTATTTATTCATAGCTTCTATTATATTTCTCAAAATAAAGCGCGTATTGTTTCAATTTGTTTTAAAATAACAAACGAGAATTACTCTCTACCTTCATTATATTAATAAACCAGAAAATGGCTACATAATAATTATAAATATTTTATTTCTGTACAATTTTATTTATAATTTCTCTAATATTTTCATAATTTATATATATACTTTATTATAATATACAATATTATAATATACTTTGTTATTTCAACATAACACATCAATTAAAAATTTGTATTATTTATGAATAATTAATATAAATTAAAATTAAAAGAAAAAATAAGTTTCATTATAATGAACTCGCAAAAATATAAGGAAGGAATGATAAAACGGAGAGTAAGAAAACCAAAAGAAAAACAAAGATAATAAATTAATATTGATAAAATGAAATTCACCTAACTACTAATATTAATTACGCGATATTACATACCATACAAAGTGTTATTAAAGAACGGCCTTTTTATAGGAAGTTGCGTGTTTCATATGGTATTACGTTAATAACAAGTCTACCTTGATTCGCGAGTAGAGCATCGATGCGCAACGTGATCATCAGGCACGTTACATAAAGCTCGATTGTATATATTACATAGGTATATAAATATATGTATACCTATATCTATTCATACATGTAATATTTATCTAACGACGCTCATCGTTAGCTACTTCATCGTTACAAATTCAACGAATGGACAAACGTGGCCCCGTTCCTGCCAATGAACGGGTTCGTTCGCCGTTTCTCTTCGCGTTCATAAGTTTAGTAGTTCAGCACCACGGTTTTACGCGAATCGGCCATTCCGGTTGAAAATTATGCATGGATTCGCGTGCACAGAGTACAGTGCATCGATTACGGTAGGATTTGTAGATTAGTTAGTCAAATTCATTTGAAACCTTCTTTCGAAATAGAATTTCGTGATCCTTGAAATATCCTCTCATTTAACGGATTATTCCAATATTTCCAGTCAAAATGTAACACTTTTCTGGAAATTTTTATCTTTTCAAATATAGATGATATAAAATGGAAATTTGACTTTCATATTTATTGATTTTTTAATTAAAATTGACGTAAATTTATATCTTTTAATATTTATAACTGCTGAAATTTTATTTATTTGAAATTCGTTACGCCGAATATGTAGAAATAGGTGTTAATGGTATTTGCAATATCATTCGTTGTAAATGTCAAAAAATATTGAAAAAAATATATTTTTAAATTTTTATAATTATTCATGTATGTAATATTTCATTTAATTTTTTCGACTTTAAGAAGAAAATACATTTGTCCATTTTTTTTCGATGAATTAATCCCTTATTGAGAAATTAATCAATGAATAATTATTTTCAGATAATTCATTATCCCTGATGCCGATAGAAAAAAAAACACATTTCAAATTTAGATAGAATACGAGAAGCTCGAGATGCATGCATTTTTTTTAAATACATTAACGTTTCAAAATGCAAAACGATTTTTTCGTAAACGTGATCTGGAAAAAAACAATGAAATAAAAGTTAATTATCATTTTGTGAATGGAAATATTGCAAAACTATTCTAAGAGTTTCTCTATCCGTCTTTGCTTGTCATTTATTTGCCCAAGCAGTACAATTTCCTTTCTGGGATATTCCGAGCTGTCTCATAGGCACGAGTCTCTTCGAATTTATGGATAGCATTCAGGATTAATGACGAGGGATGTTGAAAGGGCAAACTCGATATAAATTCTCAAGATAGGAAGGACAAGGACATAGATTACATGACTCATATAGGACGATACGAAACTAAAGGGTATGGTCGTACCTGTAGATTCGACTTTGAAAACCGACCACTAATCGGAACGGTATGTGAAGAGAATTATTTGAATCTTTTCACTTGTCTTTTGATCCAATTACCCCTCCCTCTCTCTTCCTTCATCTTTTTTTACTTTTTATATATGCCGGTAAATTTGAATATACATATCCAAATTTAAGTGTTATATTTTTAAGTACTGTTTGGAGATTAGAAATAAACCCCTGAAGAATACAGGAGAAAAAGATTACCAGCATTTCTATCACAGATTAATTTCTTATCTTTGAGCAATATTTACTTACATAAAAATTTATCTATCATCTTAACAACAGAATGGATTACTTTTAAATATATATCACAAATCAAATATCACGCGTTGAAGAATCATGAGTAATTCTAATTCGATTTATTTTCAGGTTTCTAAAAAAAAATCAGACATTTTACAAATTTTTAATAATTCTCGTACACAATGGGCATGATAATAATAATTACTAAAAAGTAACATTTTTGAAAGCTAGTTTCCTTTCCTTTTTTTAATTTTACTTGCTACCATGAGACACTTGAAATGTTCTTTCTGGCACTTAAAATCAAGAGAAAGGGGAAAGGGAACGAGTAGAGGAAGGTAAGAAAAGAGATCTCTCGAAAGTCAGGGACGAAAATTTAATTCAACGTCGGTAATAGGGTCGTTCGATGTTGGAAACATCTGGACAACGTTGGGATACGAAGACAAGGACGCCCCCTTGTGCTCTTTCTCTCTTTCTTTCTCTTTGAAAAGTAGTGGCACGAGCAAAAACTTGTTAGCACCCGCAGTCGAAACTCGTGTTTTATTAGAAAAGTTTGAAAATTAGCTGAAAAACACGAGCGAGACGACGACGTAGACGACAGGGTTGTGCAACGATAGCTAAAAGATAAAAAAAAAAAAAGTTAAAAGAGTATTGAGACGCGAAAGAATTAATAGAAAAAGAAAAGAAAAGAAAAAAAAAAAAGGAAAAAAAGAATATAGGTTAAAGAGAATAAGAAGAGAGGTAAGTAAGATGAAAAAAAAAAAGAAAGAGAAAATGGACGCGAAAAAAGAACGAGAGTATCTAGTGACGTTCGTTCGAGCCTGAAAAGAGGGTCATTACGCGAGCCTTCCAAGAGAAAATTTGATGAAGAACGAGAGTTACTTTCTACCTACCCTTATATCTATACATATATACAAACATATATATGTATATATATATATATAAGATGACGGGACGTAGCCTTAATAAGCACCTTAACCTGCCACCTATAAATTTGAAGTGATGTAAAATTAGAAAGAGAGAGATTACTTTACTCATAGGATGATAGCTTTAAGCTTCGTGTTTTTCCAATCTTTCTCGTCTCTCAACGTTTCTTGAATGGAATAACAGGTTTCCAACCTTCGTCCAGGATCGTTTAACAAGAGAAAGAGAGAGGCAGTTTCCTTATATTCATCATTCGGGTTCAAATTGATCTACAAACTTGCCAGATTCTCTCTCTCTATCTCTATCTCTCTCTTTAGATTCTCTTGAAGCTACTCCTTCGGTCTGTCGAAGTCGTTATTAACCGGGATTCCGTCCAGTGTCAGAAGGTAATTTCACTTCCGAACACGCGACTGAAATTGGATCTTACTTTCCGTCTCTCTAAGTGTGCTTGTGTTCGTATCATTGATACGTTTGTATTTTCTAAGTTTGTAAGAGTGCTCTTTGTTGTTTTACTATAATAATTCAAATTAAAAGTATCGATATGATTAATGTAAATATTGAAATAATATATAAATACATTGTTAAAAATCTTAGTATATTAATTAATTTGCATCTTACTTGAACTAAAAAAATATATATATTTTTGTTAAATTTTTCAATTAATAAATTAATGTGGATCAAATTGTTTGTATATATTATAATTTTTAAATATTTCGGGTTTCATATTGGAGTAATAATGAAGTAGTAACTTCGTCGTTGCTTGAGAAATAATCTTTATTGTTCTGAGATGAAATAAGTGTGTACGGTAGCATGGGTACTCAGCGGGAGGCTCTCGAACGGAATGGGTGAGTGGATAATGTCAGGTAACCAAAAAGAAAAAATGAACGTGGGGAGAAATCAGAAGTACGTCACGTAAGTGCTAAGTAGTGGACACCCAGTAGCCGGGCACTTGAGAGACAGAAACAAAGGCACGTTAAGTAGCATGAAAGAGCAAAAGAGAAAAAGAGAGAGAGAGAGAGAGAGACGTAACGTGTGTGCTGGAAAATGGAGATGATGTTGGTACTGA